AAATTCAAAGAAAGGACGTTTATTAAAAATCTATTGGGGTTCCCCAAGGGTCTATATTAGGACCCCTCTATTGGTTTTGATAATATACATAAACGACCTTGTTTATTCTGATCTTCATGGGAAGATTACCCTCTATGCGGATGATGCAGTTGTGTTTTACTCTGGGCAACAAGATAATATGGCATAGAATAGAACACCAAATTGAAAGAGACATAAGTAAATACTTTGGGATCTTGGTATGCTCAAAACTATTTATATGCTTGAATGAAAAAAAATGTTGTTGTTTTGGTAACTTCAAACGACTGATATATCACGATAAACAGTACAATTATTAAAGAAGTTGAGTGTGTTATATACAGTGAGGGGCAATATTATGGAATAAATTCATTTTTACGAGAATAGGCAACTTTTGAGACAAATCCCGAAACACGTCGATTTTTATTTCCAAATTGTGATTTTGTGGCAGATATGTCATACTAGTGACGTCATCCATCTTTGCGTGATGACGTAATCGATGATTTTTTTAAATGAGAATAGGGGTCGTGTGATAGCTCATTTAAAAGGTTATTCAATTCTCTATTCAGTGATATGAACATCAACATAATTATTTATACAGGGTGGCCAAAAAAATATTTAATTTGTAAATGAAATTAATTTTCACAAAAAGAAGTATTATAATTTATTAAATACAAAATTACATTGTACTACTGTCGGAAAACAGAAAAAAAAATTATTTGACAAATAAAAATTGCTTTTCGCTTAAATTAAATGTTCAAATTGCCACCCACCGGCCTCTTGGCAGTAATGGAACCGACGAATACATTCTTCTTGAACATTGTGGATCATTTCTGGAGGTATATTACGAATTTCCAATCTAATTCTATTTCTTAAATCTTGTAAATTCTGTGGTCTATCGATGTAAACTTTTGATTTTAAGTAACCCCATAGGAAAAAATCAAGTGGTGTAAGATCTGGAGATCTTGCGGGCCACTCTATTGTTCCTCGTCGACCAATCCATCTCCTAGGGAAACATCTGTTTAAAAAATCACGAACAGGACGTGCAAAGTGCGGAGGTGCACCGTCTTGCTGAAACCATATGTTTTCATTTGGCGAATTACGATCATTTTCATTTGGAAACATGTCTGTAAGGGCGGGTATAAGTTCATTTTGTAAAAAATCAAGATATATTTGCCCCGTAAGAGACCCATCGAAGAAAAAAGGACCTATAATTCTATCCTCGACTATCCCTGCCCACACGTTTAGTTTTTGAGGGTGCTGAGTGTGTACCGCAGTCATCCAATGGGGATTATCTTGACTCCAATATCTGCAGTTTTGCCAATTCACTGTTCCATTTAAACAGAAGGTTGCTTCATCAGAAAAAAGGATTTCACGAATGAAGCGTGGATTTTGATTACATAAATCTTGCATTACTTCACAAAACTGCATTCGGCGATCTGGATCATCCTCATTGATTTCGTGGACATTATGAATTTTATACGGATGATATTTCTCTTTTTTCAGCACACGTAAAACAGACCTTTTAGAAATGTTTGTATCAGCTGCAATTTGCCTAGAATTAATTTGAGGATTCTCTGCCACACTTAATAATACAGACAGTTTCACATCCTCATTCATTGGTGGACGACCAGCATTTGCAACATGTTTCACGTGTCCAGTTTCTCTAAATTTCTTCTCAATTTTACTAACAGTGGATTGTGTGATAGGCGTATTAGGATATTTTATGGTAAATAAATTACATACTTCTTGTTGTGTTCTGGTTCTATCTCCATATCCAACCATAATTAATACTTCGATTCTTTGTGTTTCAGTTAATGGGGCCATTATTTATTTATTTCATGAAATAAACTAGTCCTTATGAGAAAATGTCAAGAACTGACTTACATTTGACCCAAGCCAACTCGATTTGTAAAAACTATACTTTTTGCTATCTTTTTAGTTCTCATTATTTATTTGCCTAATATCGGAATTTATTTTTGTTTCTTTATAGTAGTAGAAAGCACACCAGTTCTAAACATTTATTTATAAACTGTTTCAAGTGTTTCAATAGTAGACAAAATCAATGAGGATGATCCAGATCGCCGATAGACCACACATTTCCAAGATTTGACAAATAGCATTACATTGGAAATTCGTAATTCAACTCCAGAAATGATCCACAATGTTCAAGAAGAATGTATTCGTCCGTTCAATTACTGCCAAGAGGCAGGTGGGTGGCAATTTGAACATTTAATTTAAGCGAAAAGCAATTTTTATTTGTCAACTAATTTGTTTTTCTGTTTTCCGACAGTAGTACAATGTAATTTTGTATTAAATAAATGATAATACTTCTTTTTGTGACAATTAATTTCATTTACAAATTAAATATTTTTTTGGCCACCCTGTATAAATAATTATGTTAATGTTCATATCACTGCATAGAGAATTGAATAACCTTTCAAATGAGCTATCACACGACCCCTATTCTCATTTAAAAAAATCATCGATTACGTCATCACGCAAAGATGGATGACGTCACTAGTATGACATATCTGCCACAAAATCATAATTTGGAAATAAAAATCGACGTGTTTCGGGATTTGTCTCAAAAGTTGCCTATTCTCGTAAAAATGAATTTATTCCATAATATTGCCCCTCACGGCTTGATTATAGATAACAATCAAAATTTCAAAGAAACACCTTTCCCAGTGTTATCAATAAACTGACAATGTTTAATCGACGCTTAAAATTCGTCTCAGAACTCCTCAATAATAGAATACAAAAACAAAACTATACTATATACTCTTTCATTTATTCTCATATGTCATAGTGAGTGGGAAAATGCTTTGAATGCCATCAGTGACAAAAAGTCTTTGCAGATAGCACAGAATAAGGCAATAAAAGTATTATATTGCATAAATCCATTGATGGTAGCAACTGATACAGTATATAAGGAAACCGGGTTACTAAATTTGGCTATAGAGCTATTAAATTTGAATCATCGAGAACTATTCATAAAATAAATACTAACTACATGAAAACAACAATCAAATCATTCCTAATAACCAGTTTCACAATTACTCAACAAGAGCGGCAAACAATTTACGGCCAAATATATAGATTCAAATCTACCAGAACTCAACTCAGTATTCATTGTTTTTTTGCCTGTTATAAAAATTTATGTCACATCTGTGTAACTCTCTTTGAACAGGTCAGGATTTAAAAACATTTGAAAATAAAGTAGTCAGTTATATTTGCAAATAATCGTGATATCATAATCTTCATCTTCTCTCTGAGATCACTCCATACATAGTATTTCGAGAATGCGGATGCACCTCCATAGTCCATATTAAAAGGTCTAACCAATCAAAAAGTGTACCACTCTTAGATCATTCCTGTATGATCTAACTAAGGTACCACTATTGTCGTCACTCTATTTATAGAGTCCCTCTACTGGCACCTATCTTCACTAACCTACTATTCTTTGATGAAACTGTACGATATAAGAGATACAAGAAGTTTTTATTTTTTATTTTCAAACTCTTATCGTGTGTGTTCAATAGATATATTCAATGTTCGTCGTGGCATATAGCCAGAAAAGTAGTGGTTCTCTATTGAATAAACTGAAAAAGAGTAGATATTCTCATCACATATAGAGAATGCGAATTCTCAATGTATTGCTTCATATAAATATATATCCATTTTTGTATGTCCATAATTTATCTGAGAATATTCTTTTTCAACACTATCATAATATACAGGGTGTTAACAAATAAGTGTCACAACGGAAAACTGTAGATTGCTCATTAAAAAAGAAACATTTTTTTCCTTTTCGAAATTTGTCTCCGGGCTTCTGTTATCAAGATACAGGGCGTCAAAAAAATACAAAAAAATCTGTTTTTTTCTACTATCTCAGGAACCGTCTGAGCTACGGAGTTGAGCTTTCGTACATACTTCATCATCAATAATGACTACTTTTAGGGCTCTTAATCAATTTCCGTGGACATGTCTGAGGAGGAGAATTCAACGCCTCGTAAGGGTTTAACCCCCCAAACATTTATGCCACTGGAGAAATTGTAATTTCCAAAGTTAGATTCTGAAACGCCAATATCTTTCACACAAAAAACGTCCTCTTGTCTCAATGCTCTAAAGTCAATAGTTTCCGAGAAAAATGGATCTTTATGAATAAAAACATACAAAATCCTGATGGTATCTCCAAAAATCGTCTAAAAATCCACTGGAAATAAATACCTCAGAACTGTCTAATAATATGTTAAATCAAATTTCAGGTTCTTGAGTATGCTGGTCTCGATGCTGGTTTTCGATTTGTTAAGTTTATTAAGTGTTGTAAAGTGTGTTTAATTAATCTGAACATTTTTGATTTTTTGACGCCCTGTATCTTGAAGAAGAAAGTCCGGAGAAAAATTTTGAAGAGGAAATAAATGTTTCTTCCATCATGAGGAATCTACAGTTTTCCGTTGTGACACTTATTTGTTAACACCCTGTATAGTAGCATCAAAAATTTTGTCAACTCCAAAACTTTCAATTAGGCTGAAGATGGTCTTTTATAAGATCGAAACATGTCTCTTATGATTATGTAACAACACCATTAAAATTTGTGGAGATGATTTCGAGCATTCCTTCCTTCCTGTGAAATATTTCACTCCACTTTGAGCAATATGGACTTCTACCAAAGATGAACCCTACTATTTGCCAGAATATCACAAGGAAATCACCCCTTGAATGTTTTCGGTGTTATTTAGATACACCCCCCCTGTATATGCTTATAGTTTGATCAAACCAAATTGGTAAATCTACAGTTTTCTCTCGTGTTACAAGGTGCCAGGATCGGTAATTTGCTACCTATAAAGCCAATGTAGCCTTCGACTGTGTCAATAAATGGAGAAAATCGATAGAATAACAAACTTTACTATAGTTGCTCCACAGTTCTGACAAAACGACGTACACTCTGGCTTTGTTCCACCTACTTGTACCCCGAAAAAATGAGTACGCTTTCTTTAATGACCCCTAAATGTGGAGATGTAAGTATCCCTTTTTCTTTGCACATGGTAATGAGACGAAATTTTTCCAAAAATTTCAATGGCTTGGTATTATTACTTTTAAAATTACCGTTTGATGTATATACAGTGTGACACACTTAAGATGAAGACACCCCTGTATTTTAGTCATTTTTGAAAGCAGAGATTTGATTTTCGGTACAGACGTAGACCTTCATGGGCCGCACTTTTCACTCAGCCCGAGTGACAGCCTAAAACCCAGCCTACTGCGATCCCGCGAAAAGGGCAAATTCTCGATATTTTGCGTCGCGTTGGAGATGCCGAAAAAAGTTATTCGAAAAAGTTGATTAGAAATCGATTTTGACCCTATACATACCGAATTTTAACGCAAAATTCGAATTTTGAATTTTTTTGTAATTTTCATATTAAAGTCCGATTTTCAATTAATGATCCTGAATGAGAAGCTACGAAAACAATAAATTCGTCATAATGTAGGAATAAGAATAAAGAACCTAATATTCATTATGAAAAAATTCAGATTTTGTTTATTAGTTGTTACTAATAAAAAGCAACAGAGACGATAAAATCGGTCAAAATTGAATGACAATTAATGAAAAACTATTTATTGAACCGAATTCGAACAGGAAATGAAATAAACACTATTATTGGTAGTCGGTTCTAAATATTGTCTCTCTCAACTTGCCCGCCCTCAATTTCTGATACATTTTTCAATTCTTTTTCTATTATTATTGGCCACTCTCCTAAGTTCTGGAATACTTATTTCATGGTAGGCTTGCCTTATTCTCTCACAAAGTTCTTGCCGATTTCGTGGCCTAGACTTGTGAACCTTATTCTTGACGGTTCCCCAGAAGTAAAAATCCATTGGTGTTATGTCAGGAGAGCGAGGAGGCCATTGTTCATATGGCCTATTTCTACCCATCCAACCCTCGAACTATCCAAGAATTATGAACGGAAGCTCCGTTTAGCTGAAAGTATGTACATCTCTTGTCGCACATTGAGGGGAAGATTTTCAATGATTTCCCATAATTCATTATCAAAAAAATTCAATATAGTCGTTCAGCGTTAATGGTATTATTGAAGAAAAACGGTCCAATTATTCTGTCGCCTAAAATACCACACCATATACATTAACTTTTTGAGAGTATTGGTCCTTACAATTTATAACCCAGTGCATGGGGATTTTCGGTAGACCAGTATCTGCAATTTTGAGAAGATACTATTCCATTGGTAGTGAACATAGCCTCATCAGTGAACAAAATTTTTCTTAGGAAATCTCTATCATTTAAAAAATTTCCTTGGGCCCAATAGCAGTAATCTAATCGTTTATATTCGTCACCATCTTTCAATGTGTGCAAAGATTTGATTTTATGACGAACGAGACATTTTCTGATTTTCTCTCTACTCAAATTCAATAGCTCGGAGTGTATAATCTCTGCTCAGACCTTTCACGCAAACTAATTTTGGGATTGGCACGAACTGAAGCTAAGATATTATCATCATCATGGTACCTTCGATTACGATGTAGATTGTCAATAGCTGGACGATACTTTAATACACTTCCGGTTTGAGTAAAAAGTTCATTCCCAGCGAGCACAAAAACATCTCAGAGATGTTAAAAGTACGAGATTTCGAGACATTGAACCTCCACTGCGATGTTCTGTTCACACATGAATAGAAATATTATAGAACAGCCAATGTCCGCCGCAGGCGGCAATTATCGAGATGTCCTTGATATGTCACAAAACTACTTTCTCCCTAGTTCTTTTTAAAGCCTTTTCATGGACACAACAGAACATTTTCAACGCGTCTTGCGCACATTGAATCGCTGTAAAAAAAACATTGTCGAGGTACTTTTCTGAAGTCTTTTGTCAAAATGAACTTTTGCATTAGGATTCCATTTCCCTTGAATGGAAAAATTCATTAAAAATAGATTGAACATAAAAATATTTTCTTGATATGAAATCAACTTCTTAATTGGTTTCTGAGTAGTGCTTACTACACACAGACATATAATTGGAAATAGGTTTCCCAATTTTTGAAATGTTCTCCACAATGCATAATTTTGCAACTGCGGAGAAGAACTAAATAAGTCTTCTAACACAATATAAACTTCACCAAATTCCTTTCTGTTCGTTAGCAGCGTGATGTAAGCGTGACACGCTGCAAACGCGAATGCCAATTGCGAACAAGAAGAACAAAATCGAAAACAAATCAGAATTCATCGTATTGTGACGTAAGCATGAGACGTTGTGGTGGGGCAAACAAAGAAAGGGCACAAAAGAACAAGAACAATACATCCAATATCCTTCTAAGACCTCTTTGGGAAGTGCATATTACGCCTCAAAAAAACATCCTCATGCCTACATTTCTAAAACATTCCAAAACATCCCAGGGATACCTCTCAGTAGGCAAACAAAGACATGCCACAGAAGAACAAGAACAATACTTGAATATCCTTCAAAGACCTCTTTGGTCAGTGCATATTACGTTTCAAAATAACATGCCAACATTTTCAAAACATCCCAGGGATGTTTGTGCTCGCTGGGTTGACGGAGGCGGCGAATACGGCGAATACGATTTCGTTGCGGATGTCTTCTGTTGAATTCATGAGCAACTTGTCTGCTACTTCGAGCAACATCACCAAATAACCTTATTATTTAAATTTCTTCTCGTAAATTAAGACGTTCAATGGGCATTTTGTTACTGTTTTTGACGCATTTACTTTCAAACTGACATTTGGTATAACTAGTTCATTTGTTTTCATGACGCTCTTGCCCAAATTGAAAACTGTTGAAACACAGAATATGAGACTTATTTGAAACATTGAGAATGACGATTTTCCAACTTACATTTGATAAAATAATAATTTTCATTTCATTGATTTTGACTATCTTATCATTTCTGTAGCTTCTCATTCAGAATGATTAATTGAAAATCGGACTTTAAAACTCGGTATGTAGGGTCAAAATCGATTTCTAAGCAACTTTTTCGAATAATTTTTTTTTTTGGTATCTCCAACGCGACGCAAAATATCGAGAATTTGCCCTTTTCGCGGGATCGCAGTAGGCTGGGTTTAAGGCTGTCACTAGGGCTGAGTATTGCGAAAAGTGCGGCCCATGAAGGTCTACGTCTGTACCGAAAATCAAATCTCTGCTTTCAAAAATGACTTATATACAGGAGTGTCTTCATCTTAAGTGTGTCACACTGTATAAAACACTTTTTTAGACTCTCAAATATTCGAACACTTATAAATTGGAATCCGACAATCCCTTCAATCCAGAGAAAGTTGACAACATTTTGAAGATGGTATTAATGGAGGCAATGGAAAATCTCATATACGATTCTGATAAATGTTCGAAACAAGCCAAATGGGCCGCATCTACGATTATATCCAAAGTCTTAGAATTTCATTTTGAGAGGTGAATATTACTTATTTATACACCATGGTAGATCTTTACTATTATTACTCACGGACCAAGATCATAGTCAAGAGTCTATAGTCCCGTTTCCGAGATCATTATAAGAGGAGATACGAATTCAGTTCAATGGTAAAAAGTTGAGCCTCAGAAAATTTTCAAATTTGTTTTTAGTTGTTCAGTAATATCGAAAAAAGTGAATTTTTGGAAAATCTGTTTCATTTTTTTTTCTCTACGTTATGACTAGAGATACAGAAAACCTGAAAATACTTTTCCATAGATACTTTAGATGAGATTCAACGTGGTGATATTGATTTTTCTACGCGACGTTTCGTATTCGTATATTCGTAGAACCATCATCAATTTTGTTTAAATAAGGTCCGATTATGTGTGGTTCACAGATTTCGAAAGCTTTTTTACATTATGAATTCAACCATGTATTATACAAGGTGGTTCGAATGTGTTACGACCTAGTTTTAGTAATCATCAACAATTTTTTTTCGAAATTCCAAAGAGGCAATAATACCATCAGATCCACTTATTTCGGATCATTCGGTATCAAACATTGATGGAGTAATTATTCAATACTGAATGAAGAACTAAAGGACAGTGTTATCGAATATATCATTCATTTGTATTACCCCAGAAATGCTTAAACATTTCTCAGAAGCAACTGCAAGAAGAGGATACCGATGTTTAGAAAATATTAATGGTTATAATTTTAAACATTTTTTATGTATGTTATCTTTCAATTACTGTTCCTGTTGTCAAAATTTAGTTATTAAGGTAATTCATGTTAGAATCCATTAACATAAAACAATTGGGAGCGCTGATTTGAATAATTTAGTGAATACTGAATGATCAGAAATAAGTGGAACTGATGGTATCGCCTCTTTGGATTTTCGAAGAAAATATTGATGATGGCTTTAACTTGGTCGAAATACATTGAAACCACCCTGTAGGAAATTAGCATTCCATGCGAGTTATACATATCTGTATACTCTTTTTCTACATCTGTAACAAATAACAGTGATATTTTTCATTTCTTCAGCTTGTACACGGAAATTATTCGCAAAAAATCAAAGAGGTGATTATTCTACATGATAAAATAAGAAATTCATTTCATATGTACGTGGGTCCAAAAATACATAGTTTTCAACATACAGTGTGTTGAACTTTTTAAAAAAATCGGTCCTTCCACCGATTTTCTGGAAATTTGGCAATGATATTTTTTGTCATAAGGGGCTGATACATAGCCATAATTCAATTGGAATTATGAAATCCAGTGGCGTCCTGGGGGGCAACCTACCGTATATTATTGTCAATAAAATTTACGCCAGTGAGTTTTTTGAATTCTGTATCTACATATACAGTGTGTCCCACTTACCATGCTCACCATGGGTATCTTTTTAACGGTGAGAGATACGAGGTCGGTTAAATGACACCAAATGTGGAGTTTGTCAAAGCCAACGATAATGTGAAAAAATATTTTGATAAAATCTATTCGTTTTTGTTTTATACGCAAAAAACAGATTTTGATCATTTTCATGTCTCCTCCGTAACTTCTTTATTTATGAAAATATTCAAATAGGAATTTGAATTGAATTTGAATGAAAATCAATTTTCTTCAGATATTTCATGATACATATGTTTGACACACTCTACACTATCTATATATTGAGAACTATTTCCGGTCCAGGAAAGCGTAGTTTTCAATAAAATATTTGAAGAAAATGATTTCTCATTCCCATTCTATATCTATAGACATGTATCACACATTTATTTTCACCCCTGTTTTTGAAGGAATGTTTTGCCCAAATTAATGCAATGAATTAGTTTTTTTTTTTTCACGGAAACGAAGAAAAATATCGAAACAATCCAGGAAACCAAATGTGTAAATTATTAGTAGATCAATAGGATATGAAGATATAGAATTCAAACAATATTTATGACTAAATCAGCCCCTCATGGCAAAGAGAATCATTGCCGAATTTCAAGAGAATTGGTGGAAGGATATACGAGAAATTCATAAAAAAAACGATTCTCTTTTGAAAGTTTCACAGACTGTATCTTGAAAACTATGCATTTCCGGACCCACAAATATATGAAATAAATTTCATGTTTTCTCATGCAAACTTACCCTCTTGATTTTCTGCATAATTTTTGGACACGCTGTGTACTGTGTAGCCATCTGATTTTCCCCCAAGTAATATGCTCATCTATTATTGGGCAGATGAGATTGTTAAAAAATAATTAATAACACAATGGAAATCATACTGTGATAACAGACACGGGAATAAAATGTATGACATACAATGTAACTCCGTAAAATAAGAGCAATTTTGTGTTAGAGCCTTAGATGAACCTCGTTTACGTACAGGGTGTCCCACTTGAATGTGTCACCCACCTTTATCGTGATTCTCAACATAATGTATAATACTAGGAATAAAGAAAAATTTCGAGTACATTTTGTGTACTCAGTACCCAGTACCCGAGTACATTTTCAATAAAGTACCTGGTACTCGTACCCGAAGCATTTCGGGAAAAGTACCCGGTACCCGCGTTTATTAAATGAGTACATTTTCCGGGTACTTTTTGCAAGAATAAACTTGTCTGTGCATATGCGAGTGCAACACGAGAAACCGCTGTTATATGTTTATCATCATTATCAGTCAGCACTTCAATCAGAACCAAACGCAGATTTTTTGTTTTGTACACTGTGTAACAGTTATAGTGTTACAGATCATGGAACCATATTTACGCTGTATATAGTTGAATTTTTATTTACTCTGTATGTTTCTAGTTTGATGTGTATTGTCAAGTTTGTCATTAATTAATTCTATAAAAAGTCATATCTGATTGAGCTTCTTTTTCTGATTGTACCACGATACATTAGTATTTTCACTATTCTGATCCATATTTCATCCTTCATACGAAGTATTCAATCACCGGGTAGGTGAATTAAGAATATTTAACATTGTCGCCAGATGTTACAGATCATGGAACCATATTTACGCTGTATATAGTTGAATTTTTATTTACTCTGTATGTTTCTAGTTTGATGTGTATTGTCAAGTTTGTCATTAATTAATTCTATAAAAAGTCATATCTGATTGAGCTTCTTTTTCTGATTGTACCACGATACATTAGTATTTTCACTATTCTGATCCATATTTCATCCTTCATACGAAGTATTCAATCACCGGGTAGGTGAATTAAGAATATTTAACATTTGGCGACCGTGACAGGACACCCGACTATGAAGTACACGAAGATATCAAGAAAAGTTTTTTGAAGTGGGTGGAGGAAATTCCGACACTTCTGAGCCTGAGAATCCCCAGATGGTTATTTGGTTCCACTGATGGAAGAAATCACTGTAGTTTGCATGTTTTCTGTGACGCAAGTCAACACGCTTATGCTGCAGCGATCTTCCTGAGATCTGAAACGTGTGACAGCGTGAATGTTCAGCTTGTACAAGCCAAATCCAGAGTTTCTCCTGTCAAGCGAATGACCATACCTCGGCTCGAGTTGTTGGCTGCTACCATAGGAGCTAGACTATCCAAAACTATTACTGACATTATTGATCCTGATCTGTTAGTTTACTGGTGGTCTGATTCCACAGCAGTCCTGTCTTGGATAAAAGATGATACGAAATGGAAGTCTTTCGTTTGGAATCGGGTACTAGAAATTAGAAAGCTGACTAATAAAAATGCATGGTATCACGTTCCTGGAAATCTCAATCCAGCAGACCTTCCTTCCCGTGGCTGTTCCCCAAAACAACTGATTTGCTCGAAATGGTGGGAGGGACCTGGATGGTTGAAGGAATCTCCGAAAAACTGGCCTAATCAAAATTACCAGAGGGATGAAGAGACAATTGAATCTGAAAGAGGAAAAGATATCATATCCACTAATTTATCTACGACTACCGATTCTTCTTGGTATCACGAGAGAATTTCGAAATACGGGAAAATTATCCGAGTACTTGGTTGGATCAGAAGATTCATTGGAAATTGTCGTCACAAGGATGCCAGGATTACAGATGATGAATTATCTTTGGTAGAAGTAGAGCAGGCAGAAAAATGTATCTTGAAATTTGTGCAGAATGAAGCATTCAATGGGCCTGATGATGCTCAGTTGAAGAGTTTTTGTTGTTTCATAAATGATGATGGTATCATTAGAATACAAACCAAGGTTTCTGAGAGAAAGGACTTTCCTGATTTCTGCTATCCAACAATTCTACCATCCAATCATCCCATCGTGAGTAAACTGATTTACGAAACTCACGTGAAGTTATTTCACGTTGGTGTTCAGGGTTTGCTCAGTTTTCTGCGAGAAAGATTTTGGATCATAAGAGGCAGAAAAGCAGTGAGAACTGTAATCTCAAAGTGTACGATATGCCGTAGATTCAATGCCAAACATTTAGAAGTTCCACCTGTGTCGCTGACTGAAAATAGAGTACGACAAGCTCACATATTTGAAGTCATAGGTGTAGATTTGGCTGGCCCCCTTTACATTCGAAATGGGGAAAAGGTATGGATATGCCTGTTTACTTGTGCCATTTATCGAGCTGTTGATTTAGAACTCTTGTCGTCACTGTCCACCGATGTCTTTCTGCAATCATTCAGAAGATTTGTGGCGAGAAGAGGGAGACCGTCGACTGTATACAGCGATAATGGCACGAATTTTGTTGGTGCCGACAATGCTTTCTCACAGTTGGATTGGAAAATGATTAATGAGTACAGTACTGTGGAGAGAATAGATTGGAAATTCAATCCTCCAACGGCTTCTTGGTGGGGTGGATGGTGGGAGAGGTTGATCAAAATCATCAAAGATCTCCTCCGGAAAATTTTGGGACGAGCCAGTCTCACCTACGAGGAATTATCGACTATTATATGTGATTGCGAATCTATTGTGAATTCGAGACCGATCACATATGTGCATGAAGATAGCCGAGATCTTGTTCCACTGACTCCTGCTATGTTTACAAAAGAGATTCTGGAATGTGGAGTTCCAGATTTAGATGCCGTGGAGAGGTCGGATTTGAAGAAGCATTTAAGATACAGAATGAAACTAAAGGATGATCTTCGAAGACGATTTAGAAATGAATATTTAGGACAACTAAAATTATCTGCTAAAAAGCATTCCGAGAGAGAAATCAAAGTTGGTGATATTGTTTTAATAGGTGCTGATAACTCAAAAAGGTTAGATTGGCCTCTAGCTTATGTTGAAGAATTAATACCTGGTCGGGACAGTAAAACTAGATTGGTAAAATTGAAGACTGCTAAAGGATCAATGCTGAGACCTCTACAAAGAATTTATCCTTTAGAATTGAATTGCAGCAATGATTTAGATCTATCTTCCACTCCAGAAAAGAGGGACACTGAAGAGAAGACTCATAGTGAAAACATTGATCATGATAGGGAAGAAGAAGATAAAGAAGATCATGAAAGCTTTGAAGTACAACCTATCACCACAAGATATGGAAGGACCGTCAAACCTGTCCAAAAATTTTCTATGTAGTGGATTGAGTTGTTGAACTGAGTATACAACAACTCAAGGTGGGAGGATGTTACAGATCATGGAACCATATTTACGCTGTATATAGTTGAATTTTTATTTACTCTGTATGTTTCTAGTTTGATGTGTATTGTCAAGTTTGTCATTAATTAATTCTATAAAAAGTCATATCTGATTGAGCTTCTTTTTCTGATTGTACCACGATACATTAGTATTTTCACTATTCTGATCCATATTTCATCCTTCATACGAAGTATTCAATCACCGGGTAGGTGAATTAAGAATATTTAACATATAGAGTCAAGTGTTTTTTGTATCGTTTCTGTTGTTTTCTTAAGACTAAACCACACTAAACTAAGAGGTAAGGGTATAGTATTTTGCAATAATATTTCTCTTATATAGAGATACGTATAGACGTGAACAACGACAAATAAGTAGTTGGATTATTTTTGCTTTAATTCACGTATTAGTAATGAATAAGAAATGAATGGGTCAATTTTATAATTTGTAAAAGACAATTATTGTTGAAGTTGTTGATATTATTATTGTTAATAATAACTAATACTGATGCAAAATTTCTCAATTCTCTATTCAAATGTACTCGAAATGAGTACCCGTGAAATTCGGGTACTTGTACTCGGAGTACCTTACTCTGAGTACATCCAATGAGTGGGGTACTCGGTACTCTGTACTCGTTCTTCAATTATAAACAGTACCCGGTACCCGGTACTCGAGTACAATTTATCAGTACCCGGCCCAGCTCTGATTGACAGTCTGTGAAAATTCACCAAAGCATATGGGTATCAAATGTTTCAATAAAATACGAGACATAATAGATGTAAACTTGAATGATATTTCATTCAAAAATAAATTGAAGAACTTTCTTCTTGAAAATGCATTTTATAGTGTGGAGGAGTTTTATAATAATTGTTGATGTTCAAATATTGTCAAAGTTTCTAATGTGTATGTATGAGTGTTTTATATTTTGTCTCTGTGACTTTACCTATAGGTACACTATTTTAGCATTGTATTATTTGTAACCATTTCTTAGTTTGACTAGTCTGATAAGTTTTGTACATTGTGTATGAGTATGAGCTATACCTTGTATAATCTTTGATTGACGAATAAATTTATCTTATCTTATCTTATCTTAATCTGATCAGTCAAGAACTTATCTGGAATGATTTTTTTAAAAACTTTCGAATCTGTGCTCAGTAAAATACAGGGTGATTCCGAAATAAAAATATATATCATTAATTTATTGTTATCGAATGAAATTTAAATCTTTTCTTCATTTGAAAATTAAAAATGTTTTCTTATATAGTCATCTTGTATTTTGTTGACATAAAGAAACAATAAACACAGAATCGAGAAATTCTTTGAACATAATTCCAGAATAGTTTTCGAATTACCAAAATATGTTGGGAATCGCCAGGAAAAGAGCCAAAAGAGGGGGTGACATTTAAGTGAGACAAGTAATTTGAAAAAAAAAAAAAATTAATTATTGATCACGTGATCGTCTCACGAATAGGCGAATAGTTATCATGCTGCAAATGAAGGTTTCAAAATAGTTATTTTTGTAGGTACAAAATAATAAGCCTTGTAACTATTGGCGAGAAAAACTCTCAAGATGTCACAAGTATATGTAGTTTTTTGTGGGACGCAGAAAAAGATCGATTTGCAACTTTCAGTATGGAAAACACACATGTTTTTGGTATAGCTTGTTGTTTCGGTTTGTATTACGAGTGAAAAACTTTTGAACAATTTATATTTTCAGAAAATATATTGTTTTCCTCCGATTGGCAGCAAATATTAATTTTGCTGACACATATCAATCAGCAAAGTATTACTTTTCCTGCCTAGGCAGCAAAGTGGTTACTTTGCTGATTGATATGTGTCAGCAAAATTGAAAATCCATAAATCGTTTATAATTTCCTTCACATTTCATCCGAGACTTCTCCGGCAACAAATTCAACTCTATATTATTTGCCACCTCCCTTATTAATGGAGGTGTAAGTATATACTTCCAGGTCGCTATCACTGTCCATTATATAGTAATTTAAATATACCGATATTGTTTCGCACAACTGTCAGAAATTTCATGAATTGTCAAACCAACAACTGCGATTTCTATCAAATTTTATTTTAATTGAACACTATACAGGAAGAATAAAGAGATTGTGGGAATTGTATTAATTCGCAAACACAATATTCTCCCATAAGTCCCATATCATTATGAACAATCGGAGAAAAAATCATATGTTCAACTCGGCAGCACAGTAGATTGACTGCCTTTGCTGGATTCATAGCCGAGCGTAGCGAATTCAGCCACGGCAGTCAATCTACTACTTTGCTGCCTAGTTAAACAAATAACTATTTAATTGCAATGAATCCTCAATATCCCGTTCTTGTCCGAAATTGGAGATGAGTGGAAATTATTTGAAAATGAAACAGAGGCTCTGTAGGTCGCCAGAACCGGATTAAGGTATGTTCAATGTTCATGCTTGTACGAATTACGCAAAATTTATGCGAATCGCAAAATATGGTGGATTTTTCTCAATTTTTGGTATGAAGTAGTTCATGTGGTTCTATAAAATATTTTCATTGAGGCAACCCCCAAAAATGGACAGTTTTTTGCCAGGGGGTTTTGAATTCACATTTTGATCGAATTGACCATTTATTTCTGAGAAAATGAACGATAGTCCAAAACTTTTCATTCCATTTGATGGGGAGGCATTACCTCCAACCTCTATTTTGAAAAAACCAAAAAAAAAGAATTCCATTCAACTGTCAAAAGTGATAGGAAATGATTCTGATCAGGAAATCATCGAGTGACATTCCTAAAAAATGGACAGTTTTTCTGCTATATGAATTGAAACCCCCCAATTCACATTTTCAAGAAAAAAATAGACTACCATTTGATTCTGAATAGAAGGTCAACTTATTTCAATATTGTATTCCTATTCCTTAATGATGGAATTTTTGTTGAAATTAAAAAAAAATGGCTGCTCCAAGATGGCGGACAAGATTTGATCCGATTCCATTTAAAATTGATAATTGGGGGTTTTTGAGGTCGGAGATCATGATTTGTTTTGTTAAAATTTATAAATTCAAGATGGCGGCTTCCAAATAGTTGTTTGTTTTTGTATAAATGACGATAACTCCGTTGTTATCAACACAAAACTATAACTGCGACATATCATCTGTAAGAGAAAAAAATGTTATTTATAGCTAAGTCATAGTGAGCTATGACCTACATTCGAAAAAATGAAGTTGGTGCTGATATCTCAAATTCTAGAAGAGTTGGTATAAATTTCATATTTTTTTCGAAATCACTTTGAAAAACTGCCATGAGAATGTGAAATTCCTATTTGATTATTTTCATAAATAAAGAAGTTACGGAGGAGACATGAAAATGATCAAAATCAGCTGTTTTTTGCGTATAAAACAAAAACGAATAGATTTTATCAAAATATTTTTTCACATTATAGTTGGCCTAGATAAACTCCACATTTGGTGTCATATGGTGAGCATAGTAAGTGGGACACACTGTATAATTGAAACAAATGAAGGGTGATCGTTCAAGATTTTCTAATTCTGATCACCCTGTATCTGTCCCAATCAAATGTCAGTATATAGTTAATCGAAAGTTGAGATGGGGACATGAAAGCCGTTGCGACCAATAATGAATAGTTTCGACACAGAAAAAAGTGTGATACATTGATGAAATCAGTTCTCCAGGGAGAATCTGCAGTGAAATGAAGGGGGATATTCCCTTTGAAATAAAAAAGTTGTTGCTACTTTTCGATGAAAGCGCTAAAAAAAATTTAGAACGATGTCTCCCTCGAAAATGTAGTTGACGACGTTTACGTGTTCCAGTGTTTATTAATTATCTGGTTCTGGCCACCTACAGAGCCTCTTTGTCGTTTTCAAATGGCCACCCTGTATAGGTACACTAGTTATCATTAGAATTATATACACCATATGTTCTTTCTAAGTAGTTAAACGTGTACTACTTCAATATCAAATGGGAATTGATTAGATGCAGTTCTTCATTGATGACCTTGAGAAGATTTTGTTTTCTTGTGCATTTGCCTTCCACATCGTCCATTGATATTTGCCAAATCATCATGCCAGCTATACCTTGAGATGCAACATACCGAGCCTAAAACAGATGAACATACAGAACTCGATAAATTGATAAATAGGATTATCTCTATTTCTATGATTCTGGAAGAGTTTTTATTTTTATTTTCTACGTTCTCATTCACGAAGGTTAGTAAGCAAGCCATTCAATATGTATCCAATGAAATGGACTAGACACATCCACAACCAATATCACTTATACGTGTCTCGTTGGTTGCATGCAGTTTAATTATACTATGTATTATGTTCCCATTCTCTTCGAATCATTATGTAGGTTATTAGCAGGTAGGTCGATCAAATTTTCGGAATTATGGGATCTTGTCGAAGAGAGAGGAATTATGAGTTCGTAGACAAAGTATAGTATGTAACGCGTTTATACACTCTTCTACCCACTAAGCAAATTTGGATGCTATGTTGTTGCAAGGTTGTAGCAATTACTGAAACTGACGTTCAGCAATATTGCAAATGAAAATTTGTGAATGTAACGTTCCAGCAATGTCACAGCAACATGTAATATTGCTGCAAACGCTAGATTATCAAACTTCACCTTTGCAATATTGCTGAACGTCCGTTTCAATAATTGCGCCAACATTGCATCAAAATAGCTCTCAACTTTGCTTAGTGGGATATAGACACTCGTTACCTACTAGAAGGACGTTTTATAACACATGGTACATAAACCATTACCTGCGTATGACATCTTGATTTTCTTTACATATGTCGTATGTGTATCGAGTCAACCATCAATTCTCCGAAAAAAAAATTCTTATTCGTCATCCCGTATCACAACGCGAACGTTTTCTTCCTACAAACTACCATGTAAACACAAACATCCCTGGAAGGTCACATTCATGTTGCACTAGGTAACAATGCGAATTACAAGGAAACATCATTATTGGTGTTGCCAGGGGACACTTTGGTTTACAAGACTCGTCAAATATTCGTCACATTTTATTGGACTTGAAACTTAAAATGTAAGTGAATTTGTGAGGCTCCCTAACAACCGAGAGACTCACTGGAATCTCACATTCATTTATATGTAACAAACGGAATCGATAAATTTTGTTTTTGAATGAGGAATCGCTCAATACGTGCTGTGAGTTTTATTTGGCATCATAATGTGAATTACAAAATGATCAAAAGGGTCCGGAATAGCATTCATTGTGATTTCAGTGGGACTCTCATTTCAAGTCACGGATGTGATGTGTGGCATGAATGTGTACTTGTGTAGCCCTCTCTGGGATCAATCTGTGTGTTAACTGGGTAGTACCTACAAACATTTGAAGATTTTACCAACACGATGTACAGTCGTATTCAATAAAATAGCGTACAAGTATTAAAGAGAGAAGATTTCGGGATCCTAGTTCTAGGCATGTTAAACTGGCTCTGCCAAGGCTTTGTGTTTTTGAGTACCTATGACAACTTCACTGTCAACATTTGGTAAACAATCATTCCCGATAGCCCGTTAATTTTTCTCTGTAATATACTTGTACGCTCCTTTTTTGAATTCGACTTTAAGCGAAACTACCGCCTGTAGTTATCGTGAATGTATGCAGCCCATAATCCACATCGAATAACAATGTGGCATAACCACTTGACCAATCAAAGAAGAACTCAAATTCAATTTGACTTAAACAATTTGCTGGTGATGAAGTAATTTGTTTTCCTCTCAAATTGGCGAAACACATATTATTTCCAAAAACTACCCGTGATTTCATAAAGTGTTCTTGGAAAATTTTCCATAAAAGTTGCTACCACCTCCACCGCATTGTGCCTCGAGGATCTCAACTAGGTCCGTCGTCATTTCAAATTTATGTCAACCTCATCTTGATCTTACCTTATATCTCATCGATTTCTCATCATCGTAACCCAACCATTGCGTACTAGTGTATTTGTAGTGATTTTTCTGGTCTTTATCCCAGACGGTTGTCCAATTTTTGAATTCCGTGCATATCTATGAATGAAAAAATACTGTTCTACATAATTAGTTGAAAATAATGACACAATTCATTTGGCAACTGTATGTAATGAATATACGAAAAACGTAGGTACCCAGAGTACGAAAAATAAAATATCAAAGATCTTCAGCTAATAGAGAGCTAGTCTTCTGAATGATTGATTCAATTGAATCAACTGACTCACTCACACATTCCATCATTGACTTATTGAATGACTAACTGATAGACTCACCTAATCCCTGGTGAACTCACTGATTTGAACACAAATTGTCTAATTTACTCATTTTTTTTACTAAATGGTTGTCAGTCCGATTGATCAATATACTTGACTGACTGACTAACGAACTCAGTGGCTTACTGAATGGTTGACCGAATGTCTCACAAATCGATCAACACAATCAATAACTCATGAAAAGACTATCTTACTGACTCACTGACTGACGGACTCACTGGCCTACTGAATGGTTGACATTCTGTCTGATAGATTATTCAACATACTAGCCAACTGACTCACTCACTGACAGATTCTTTTACTATATGACTGACTATTGTCACTCACTGACTAGCAAGCTCCTTGATATATCGCATTCTATGATGATTAGTCTGTCTGATTAACCAACATACTATATGACTAATTCATTGATTGACTGTCACGCTCACCGATTGACTCATTATGTTTTTCTATGACTGACTTACTGGATGACAAACTGGTTGTTTGAGTGATCAATGATCATCCTTACTAACTCACTGACTGACTGACTCACCGACTGATTCACTGACTGACTCACTGCCTGGCTCACTACCTGACTCACTGCCTAACTCATTGACTGGTTCACTGACCGACTAACTGACTGACTCACTGACTGACTCACTGACTGACTCACTGACTGACTCACTGACTGACTCACTGACTGACTCACTGACTGACTCACTGACTGACTCACTGACTGACTCACTGATTGACTCACTGACTGACTCACTGACTGACTCACTGACTGACTCACTGACTGATTTACTTAAGGCCTCACTGGCTGACTCACTGACTGATTGACCGTTCCCATACCTCTGAATACGACGGAGTAGAAGGCGACCCGGCCCCCTTGATCGGCGCATGCAGGCCGTGTTCTTCGGAGCTAGCGAGAGCGAAAGACCGCCCGTAAAACGGCACGCCCACGTTGACTTTATCCTTGGGTGCGCCCGTCCGTAGCCATTGCGAAAGGGCGGCGGCCACGTTGAGGTTGGCCCTCTCGTAGGGGGTGTCGAGAGGGGAGTCGAACAGTGGGGAGTTTTGGCCGGTGGTGGTGCCCCAGGGGCCGTAGAAGTTGTAGCACATCAGGTTGATCATGTGCAGGGATCTGGAAATGAGGTTTTCCGGGAGGTTTGTAGTTTAAATAGGGTGTCTCGTGAGGGAAGTTGTATGTATATGTTTTTTCCTAACATGAATATGGAATTGCTAACTTTAATTATAGATCGATCATTATGATAATCTCTTCATACTCAGTAGCCAATACGCTCGAATACAACAATCGTAAGAAATTACCAGGGTAGACCCAGCTACTTAGCACGATGTGCAGATGAAGTTAATCATTTGTCATTAAAAATACAAGCGTCTAGCTAGACCAGTGAATCTTTCAAACCTCAAGGTTATCAGAAGGTTATTCGTACTTATAAAGGTAAATATGAGGAAGGAAAATATCTCTCCTGCATGAAAAAGGAAAGAACTTTCAACCTAATTTGTCTTAAATAAATACCTATTCCTGAAAAGTATATTTTTGAAAAATTGATTGAGTGAAAAAAATGACAGAAAAATGTACGCCTCGCAGGGATTGAACCCCAGTCACCATCGTGGAAGTCAGATACACAAACCACTAAGCTATCGCTTGTTCGTAGTTTCCCAATATCGATGTTTGAAGATTCACTGGTCTAGCTAGACGCTTGTATTAAAATTGTCAAGTTGAAATTGATCTCAAGCAAAAAATGTATCAGTCATTACTGTTTAGTTCACATCCAGAGTATATCTCGTATATGCTATCAAATATCATTCCTCTTGATATTTTTTGATCTTGACTGACGGTGGTGTTATCATTCCTAGATGGGTGAATATGCGATGGGTACCGACTTACTTTGAAATTTCCACAACATTATATCCAGCAGATGGGTTGGGGTAGACAGCTGCGCTCAACAACCAACCCCGCGAGTCAAAGGCTTCTCTGAGATCTCTCAACACATTCACGAAATTATCCTGGAAAAAAGAAGGAATTCAATAAAATATGTGCACCAATTTCGAAACGCACTGTGCTGCCAACGATCAGCTGTTGAAAAACGTTAATGTGCTATTGAAAAATGGCTAAAGAAGGCTATATCATGAAAATAATGCGCCGCAGGCAATTTTTTTCGAAATCTAGCTTATTTCTAACTTTTCCAATACTCATTTCATATTGTTTACCATTCGTCCCCTCTGAACTTTTTCCGCACTCAACATTTTTTGTCTCTGTTCATCACGTGTAATTTTGAATGATACATATTTATACACAGAGTATATTTTCTGCCTAGTGGAAAACGCTATTTCAGTGTTTAGGAGTTAGGAGTTCATATGTTAGTTCTTCCAACTAGCCGTTTGTAAATGTTTCAGTATATCGAGCATGACTATCTTGTACATGATTCGTAAATAAGGATTCAAATATAGTTTTTCATCGAATCAAATCAACATCATTTTGAAATAACAAAGGGTTGAATATTGAATTATGTTGTCATTCATTAGTCGATAACAGAAGCACCTACTATTACGTGGTAAAAGTGTCAGATTCATAAAGGCATATAATGTCAATAATGTCAGAAGTCGTACTTCAAATAGTCGGTGACTCTGCATACATTTAGTATAGTTCGATAGAATATCGTCATATATAAAGCCAGAAAAAAACATTTGGCGTTTCTTGAATGGCTTAATTATCTACTCCTCTTGAAAAGGCCAGTTCTAGCCGTAAATAAGCCGTATTGACAACACTGAATTATTGTAACAGCGACTTTCCACCTCCCCTCCACTTTGACTCGTCCAATATCGAGCGCGAGGACGGTGCGTCGAGTCGATCGCTATTGGTCGAACCAGTGATAGGAGGGGATTGACTCTAACGAGCGTAACAGCTGTTGCGGTCGCATTCAACGTCGGACTCACTGCGTCATCGGGTGTTGGTTTCTCCCAGTCAACGTCTAATCCGTCGAACGAGTAGGTCTCGAGGAAATGCACGGTGCTCTCGACAAGTCTTCGTCTGGTCACGTTCGAGGCAGCGACTTTTGAGAAAACGGCGGCGGCTGTGTCCCCGACGCTCAGTAGAACTTTCAGCTGGGGGTTGCGTTCCTTCAAAGCGACTGTTCTCTTATAAAAACCTGGAAAAATTTACGTCACGAAGTCACTAATAGATGTCTAATTATTTCTGCTTCGAATTTTTTATACCTTTCGTTATGTCAAGGTACTGGCTTCTGATGACTAAATTGCCATCTTCGTTCAGATGTACGAAAGCGTAGTTGACATGCGTGCACAGAGACGGATCGAGATCTTCTGGACCGATTTTGCCAGGTACGTAGTAACAGACTATGTTATCTGAAACAAACAAAGGTTTCATGGGTTCGACATCGAAACATGAAGACGAATTCGGAATGGAATGGTTAATTATCCTGTTTCATTGAATTCAGCATTTTTTTTAAATTCCACAGTGTAGGTATATACAATTCTTGTCCATGGACATCCGAACCTTTTGGCCTGTGTTATTATAATGATTACATTCAGATTTCAAGGTGATTGCATGATGGTGGTTTCATGTGCCACGGTGCTTCTTTTTTTTTTATCGCTTGGAGCGCACGAGCCCCTACAATGTTCAAAGAACATCGTGCGTTCCTAGGAAGGATAGGGATAGGAGTTATAGGTATTGGCATTTTTTTTGAACTTCTGGAGATTATATGTTCTTGGGAATACTTCCTCAGGCAATGAATTCCAGAGCCCAGCCGTTCTATGGAAGGAGTTTTGATAAAGTGCTGTTCGACATCTTTCGAGGTTGACAACGAAAGGATGTGCTGACTGGGCTTGTCTAGTTCGTCTGACTGGTATTGCTAGTGAAGGGATGATAGCAGAGATTTCCGAAGCACATTTCTCGTGAAAGTATCGATAGAAGAAAGAAAGGTCGCCGACCTTTCTACGGTGTTCCAATGATGTCAAAGAGTGAGTGAGTGTGGCCTCACCCACCAGGCGGATGGCTCTTCTCTGGATGGAATCTAAGAGCATCAGCGTATGTTTCGGTGCTGAACCCCATTTGTGAGAACACATTCTATTGCCATCTCACGGTTATTTCATGATGATTTGTATGATCACGGTGATTACATGATGCTTGTTTACATGAGTTTTCATGCGATTTCATGGCAATTTCATGGAATTCCATGACAATTTCATGGTGAGATCATGGATAACAAACGATGATTAAAGATCACATTCTAGCCTGTAACAGGCTTACCTCGTCGTTGCAAGTGGTCCCAAGAACCTATAAGTATAACCTCCAAAAGAAAAAAAAATAACACCTTTCTCCTCTCCATGTCCTCCTTAGATACGCGCGATGTTCCATAAACATTATAGGAATTTTCTTTCGTGCGATCCAAGAGATAATTTTTTTTTCAATCTTTGGTCAATTAATTCAGTATGGCACCCTTTAATCAAATGCAAGATATGTGTTGTTCGAGGCCTAAGTGTAATAATCAATATAAAAGTACAAATGTATCAATAATACGACATTTTCAGGGAAATGGCATCCAAATGCAAAAGTTCATTTGTACAAAAGGTTTCAGAAAAGTACCCCAAAAATGATTCATTTACAGCGATTTAATGTGCACAAGACTCTTTCAAAATGTTTTGTTGTGTCCATGGAAAGGCTATAAAAAACTAGGGAGAAGATATTTTTGTGACATCCCTGCGGCGGAAATTGGCTGTTCTATGAAAGTTCAATTCATCGTTCAGTATCTCGAAATCTCGTACTTTTAACATCTCTGAGATGTTTCTGTGCTCGCTATATTTTGGCGAACAAATGCAGAAAAATACTCGCTTGGGAGTATGTATTTTTCAATCTGAAATCAGTCATATATCGACCCAAGAAATTCTTGAGAATATTTTATTGAAAAGTAAGTAATGAAAAAAATATTATGGCCTACCTGCTGTGGTATTTATCACTAGAAATGAGAAAGTAGAAACCACTAGATAAGCACTAACGATAGTATACAGAGGCACCATTTTCGCGGTCACTTAACTCTAACAGTAAAAAAACATTACCCCTATGCAGAGATTATAGACTATAATAACTGGCAATAAACACCTATATACGAACTGGAGGACAACAAAGATTATCACAAGGGGGAAATACTCTACGAGAATGTCGCAATCAAAATATTCCATTATTTGAAACTATCTATCTGAACACGACGTTATAGTAGGGGAGCCAGTGGCACCATTTCACCATCGGGGATGAGCTAAAAGGCCATCATGCACGAACAAAAACATGTATGCACGAAATACGCCCCGCAGGCGAAATTTTATTTGCGTTCAACGTCGAATGCTTCAAAATTGAAAATTACATTTTTTCCGCAGTAAATACGTCTATATATATGTCATGGAAACAGAATAACACCAAATCGGTCGACCAGAAAAATTATATTACAAAAAAATGTATTGTATTGTGTATAATTTCGGCTCAAACAGCATGAACGAGTCTTTGGAAAGAGATGTTCTGCAGGTCTCCAAAGTGACCACGAAGGGGTGCGAAGCCTCAACTCGACAGGTTAATCTCGCGGAGACTGCCAAGGAAGGAACAATTGTTGATATTTCAGAAGAGCATCGTTCATGAAAATATCTATAAAATAGAGCCAGATCGCCAACATTTCTACGGTGTTCCAGAGAAGTGAGTGGATTTGTGAGCGATGCATCACCCACGAGACGAATTCCCCTTTTTTGGACAGAATCAAACAGTTTCAGGGTATGTTTGGGTGCTGCACTCCAAATATGGGAACAGAATTCCAGAACAGGTCGGATCTGTGCCTTATAGACCATAAGCAGCTGACTGGAAGTGAAATAGCTCCTGGCCCGAAACAAAAAACCAAGTTTTAGCAATTGATCTCACGTGGTTTTCCTAAGAAAGGTTATTGCTGATAGTCATACCAAGCATCGAAATGGATGTCTTCAAAGGTATGGTTACTCCTGAAAAGCTCATGTTGGGCACAGTGAGATCGGTTTTCCTAGAGAAAAGGCATGCTTGTGTTTTGTTTGCATTGAAATCTACCAAGCTATTGGATCCCCATTCTAGAATTGTTGCCAAGTCAATATTTATGTAGTCAACATTTCTTCCTCGTTCGTTTCCGATTTGCCTGGCTGGTATTGGATCCCTGGAAGAGAAGGCGGTATGGAGGATACTAGCATCCGCGAAGTTGTGTATACTGGACATGAAGTACAGTATCTGTGAAGATATTTAATTTACAGAGCAACAATAAGTTGTTGGGAAACAAACATACCTATAAAACCATGTGGAGATCACATAAAATAAGAATAAAAATTGATGAGCTGTGGAGTCATTTGGCCAAAAATCAGTCCGGTAAAAGAATACTTGAATTTTTGAATCGACTAAACAGCCAATAGAACCCAACTATCATCAGGTTCAACATTGGCACAAACTTGGGAAAAATGTATTCACTTTAATTCACACAAACGAGTTTCATCTTCAAATGGCCATTTTGGAAAAGACAAAAGAGAAAGACAGGGTGAAGCGTCAAGCATAGCAACAGACGTTAACAGAATACAAGACAAATGACTTCATGTTTTCATTTGAAGGAAAAATAGGAATATAAGAAGGTTGTGAGAAGTATGTTGGTGACAAAAAAAAACCGAAATGATAGCATTTTAAATGAAAATATATTTGGGCCTGATTCAAAGCAGCATATTAGCATCTGGAATCTTTCCAAGTTTTATTTTTTTTAGTGCTGTTGTGTATTTGGAGTGTTGAGGTGGAAAGTATTATGAAACCGGAAGGCTAGTCGTGGTATGTTGAAATCAATTAGTGCAAGTAATGTCGCAGAATCTATGGAACTATGAATAATCTTATGTATGAATAATAGGTCACCGATATCTCTCCTCTTTTTCAGTAATTGGAACTTGAATTCGTCCAGAAGGAGTTCATAACTATAATGTCTTTCAGGGTAGCGTTTGTATTTTTGTTTTGTAGAAAAGGTATTTTAAGAACTTTTTTTGTACCATCTCAATTGCTGAAATTCTTTGTTGGTGATATGAATTCCAAATTTGACTACAGTATTCCAGTTTACTTCTGACTAACGTATTGTAGAACAGACAAAGGGCATCCAGGGAATTGAATTCACTACAATTTCGAAATAGGAAACCCAGTGATTTCATAGCTTTTGAAATTACTGCTTCGTAGTGATAATTGAAAGTTAGTTTGTGGTCGTAAACAATTCCCAAGTCCTTTTGCTGTGTTACTCTTGATAGTGACTCTTCGTTAAGCAGATATTAGCATCTGGAATTTTTCCAAGTTTTATTTTTTTGTAATGACGAGAAATTCTTATTTTCTATGGCTAAGTATAAGTTAAAATGACAACTAAATGTATTTTCAAAGAAAAATATACGTTATATTGATAGCAAAGATGAAATATACATCTATTGAAATATTTATTTTTGAATAGTCTATTTTATCCGATTTTCTACAGCCAAAACCAACTTTAGTTTCTTATTGTAGTTGGCTTTTGATATCAAACAATTGATGAGCAATATATTTTTTGGCAGAATCGGTCAAATGTCAATTTTCACCTATATTTCCCAGAAATGGTTAGAGATATCGAAGTGTGGTTTCCAGCAATCGATATAAATTTTCTGTTCTTTAGTTCATACTGAGATAGGTCTTCTTGTTTCACCTGTAATACTCTCTTCAAACACACGAGGTTTACTATACTACACAGGGAAAGCGCAGGTATGGGACAGACGTGGACATTCTCAATGGACGATGGATCCATTAAGGAATTGGAGCGGCTACACTTCCGCCCACACTTCGGTTTTGGACAGGTGCAATTCCGGTTCAAGAACTCGAAGAAAGATCCGGCATCGACAGCGGGGCCGGAGTCCTCGAGCAGAATCGCGAGACCCAAAAAGGGGGACAAATCCAACTTGGAGGGGACTGCGGGCTCGGGGACTTCGGCCAAAGCTGCCGAAAAAACCAAAACGGCCTTTACAGGCAAGGGGAAAAAACCCCTTCGAGGTAAGGCGCCGAAAAAACGAGGTGGACCGGAACCTGAGGCAAGAGGGGAAAGTAATCCTCCTTGCCCTCCCTCCTCGTAGGGAAGATGGCTACCCACATCTCGTTCCTTCAGGCGAATATCCAACATGCCAAAGCGGCCTCTTTCGTCCTTGGCAGGAGGTTCGCCTGTCAAAAACTTGATGTGGCATTGATCCAGGAACCCTGGATTTCCAACACAGGCCGGATTAGCGGCCTGGGAAACTGCTCTGGTAAGTTGATTGCATGCACTACAGGTGGCAAACCTAGGGCTTGTATACTTATCCGGAATAACATCAACTACTTTATGTTAACAGGTTTCTGCACCCCCGATGTGGTTGCAGCTCAGCTCTCGGCCCCGGTGGGGGACAGCAGCATAGACGTAGTAGTCTGCTCTGCATACTTCCCGGGCGACCTGAGGGAACATCCTCCTCCAGCAGCAGTGCGAGAGCTAATCGCCTTCTGCAAGAGGAAAAACAGGCAACTGATCATTGGATGTGATGCAAATGCCCACCATTTGGACTGGGGAAGTAGCAACATCAATGAAAGAGGTGAGTACCTATATAACTATATAATAGGTGAAGGGCTAGTCGTAAATAACGTAGGCTCGGAGCCAACTTTCGTGAACAGAATTCGCGGAGAGGTTTTAGACTTAACAATCAGTACACAATTTATGAGTACGAAGATCGTTAATTGGCAAGTATCTACGGAGCCCTCATGTTCAGATCATAGACATATACGATTTGATGTGAGAACAGGACACCGACCAATAGTACAATTTCGTGATCCTAAGTGCACAGACTGGAATGGGTACTGTGAATCTCTCCAGAAGCACCTTGATCCCAGAATCAGTACTATCAAAAATAGTGCCGAAATCGAAGTGGCGAATGAGCGTATAGCAACCGCAATTCTAACGGCCTATCAGGACAACTGCCCACTAAAGGAGAAGAAAGACCACAGAGGTACACCCTGGTGGAGCAAGAGCCTGGACAAAAAAAAGGCAAGAAGTTCGACGTCTCTTCAATCGAGCTAAAGATGCAGGGTGCTGGGACACTTACCGCACATCTCTAACGGCTTATAACAAAGAAATAAGGAAAGCCAAAAGAGACTCTTGGAGGAGATTCTGTCAGAGTATATCAGATGTACCTGCCAGCATGAGAATTCACAAGGCTCTCGCCAGAGATCCGACCCAAGAGATCGGCTCGATAAAACGACCGGATGGCTCTTTTACGAACTCTGGTAGGCAAACGTTAGAGGTTCTTCTACAGACTCACTTTCCCGGCAGCCTGCTCCTGGAGGACCGTCAGCAGATTCCACTTCCAATGGGATCGATAATACGACCAAACAAGGAGGACTGGAAGAATGCCTCAATGGTGGTCACCCCAGAGTCAGTGGAATGGGCGGTGAATTGTTTCTCCCCATTCAAGTCTCCGGGAGAGGACGGAGTTTTTCCTGCCCTCTTACAAAAGGGCAGAGAAGTTTTACTACCTCTCCTGGTTAAATTATATAGAGCGAGTTTGGCGTGGAGCTACATTCCGTTAGGCTGGTCAACAGCGAGGGTTGTGTATATACACAAATCGGGTACGGCGAATCATTCCCTACCCAAATCCTTCCGACCGATCAGCCTTACCTCGTTCCTATTAATAACTCTAGAAAGAATTCTAGACAGGCATATTAGAGAGGGGAATCTAAGGGAGCATCCCCTAAATCCCCATCAATATGCCTACCAAACAGGCAAATCAACGGATTTAGCACTGAACAATCTTGTAGGAAAGATCAGCCATTCCTTAGATCATAAGGAAATTGCGCTGGCAGCCTTCCTAGACATAGAAGGAGCGTTCAATAACGCCCTACCACAATCACTCTACATGGCAATGCAAGGTAGAGGAATCAGCAGGCAAATATGCAACTGGATCAAAACCATGATTGGAAATCGGTACGTCATATCATCACTGCATGGAGGGTC